CAGCCGGCGTGCAGAGGGTGAAGCGTGCGGGGGGGGGCTTTCTGGAGACCCTGGTCTAGAAAACGCGGGAGGTCAGCCAGGAGGTCAGGTTGAGGTAACACGGGAGAGCAGCCCATGCGGCTGGGATCATGCAAACCTGCTGCAGCACATCCCGTGGGCGCTGGGAGATCATTCCGAATGCCGGGCTGCATTTTATTCCCCAGTAGGCAAGCACTGGGTGGGTACCCAGCACTAGTCAGCACTCCGATGCATGCTCTGCAGGGCATCACTCCACGCAGCTGCTTGTCAGGCACAGCGTGACATCCCTCCTCCTGGCTGGGAGCGGCTGGGGGGGAGGCGTGCTCCGAGCTACACCGGGAGGATCGATGTCAGAGTATGGCTCTATTGATCCCCAGCTGAAAGCCTGCTGCCTGCCCTCCTCGCAGCCCTGCACATCTTAATTCAGCATTTAATGGGTGTGCTACGCAAAATTGCTTTCCTGGGATGCTCGCCTCCCTGGGGGTATGCTGCGTGCTGGGTGCTGGTCACATCTTGGAAGGGAGGGGAGATACGAACCTCTCATCTGGGGAACCCAACGGCACTGCGGTAACAGGGACGGCAGCTCCGTGATGGGGCTCACGTGAAGATTTATAGGTGGGCCTTGCTGGTGCATCTGTCGTGGCTGTCTATAGAGGTGACTAATTTCTGCCTACCGCTCTCATGGGCTTTGCGTGCTGCCTTGTGTTTTGAAAAGCCCAGGTACGCCAGCGTGCGGATGGCCATATCCAAGGTGCACAAAGCGCAGACCTTCCTGGGAGTGATACCCCGAAGCTCCACTCCCCTCATCCAAATCGTACTGATGGATGATGGAGCGGGAGAGCAGACTGGCACGACTGCAGAGCAGCTGGCTTCAGATATCATGGAGGACATAGCTCAGCACGGTAATGACACCGTCCTCCTCGGTGGGTCCTCTGTGGGTGCTCCTGAAGCCACGTCTGTCCAGAGCTCCTTGTCCCCTGTCAGCAACCCACATGGCAGCCCCGCATTTCTGTGCTTTCACCAGCAGCTTGCTGTGACGGGGATCACACAGGAATGAAGTGGCAGCTTCGCTGAAGTTCCCTGGGTTTGAAAACTGCTAAGTTCCTTGAACTCATCAGTCTGGTCCAGCACACCTCTAAGCCTTCCTAACACACACAGTTTGTGCTTCTAATGTAGTGAACTTTGGTCACCCAGAAGTTTAACAGGTTTAGTTGCAGCAGGGCAGTGGTGTGAGTAGAGCAGCAATTATCAGGGTCGGCAGGGACCTCTGGAGACCATCTGTCCCCTTAAAAAAGCGGGTTGCCCAGGGCTGCATCCAATTGCATTTTGAATCTCTCCAAGGATGGAGACTCCACAACATCTCCAGGCAACCTGTCCCCATGGCTGACCACCTTTGTGGTAAAACAGAAACAGTTTTTTCCTGTGTTTAAGCTGAATTTACTGTATTTCAATAAGAGCCCGTTACCTCTTGAGCTGTCACCGGACACCACTGAGAAGAGCCTGGCTCGGCACTCCAGCTGTGTCTTGCCAGGGCAGAGCAGAGGGGAAGGGTCACCTCCCTTGATCTGCTGGCAGCCTTCCTCCTCATGCAGCCCAGGACACCGTTGTCCTTCCATGCCATGTCTGGCCATGGTCAGCTTGGTGCCCACCAGGCCTCCCAGGTCCATCGCTGCAGAGCCGCTTTCCAACCAAAGCGCAGTGGGTGAAGGCAGCCGTGTAAGCTGGCAGATGCTGACGAGCGTGCAGGTCGTAGCCGGGGGGACCTGGTGTGTGTTGTGTGGGTAGCAGACCCACGAGGGCTTGTCACAGCTGAGTCCATCCAGCTGTTTATCTCACCTCCTGTCCCTGGGGAAAGGTGGTCAAGCAGGAGAGCAGTGCCAGACCCAGCTGCAGGCTGCCTCTGCCCTGTGCATGAGTGGGTGCGGGGATGTGTCACCCTGTCCAGTCCTGACCCCTCTTTCTTCCTGCCCTTTCCCAGGTGAAGCACTTGGCATTTCAAGTGGCAAAATGGAGGTGGCCAGCGGCAGCACTTTCACTGAGCAAGTGGAGAGCCACACATTGAGGAGGATCACGGTGGGGATGGTCTTGGGGCTGCTCTTCAGTCTCCTGTTTCTTGGAGGGATCTTCTTTCTCTACAGAAAGCGAAAGCTAAGGTAGGGATGGGGCTTCTGCTGGCAGAGTATTGCCAGGCTTCTCCTGCATGGGGGCAGCTGTCACCCAGGCTGTCCTCCCAGCTAGCCTGGTGGCACAGGGGCATGCGGTGCTGCCCAGAACTCCCACAGCGGGGGCATGGCCAGGCACTCTGCTGTACCCAGCATTACTGGTTCATAGAATCACAGAATCGTTTGAGTTGCAAGGGACCTTTGAAGATTGTCTAGTCCAACCCCCTGCCATGGGCAGGGACCCCTTCCACTAGACGAGGTTGCTCAAAGCCCCGTCCAGCCTGGCCTTGAACACTGCCAGTGATGGGACAGCCACAACTTCTCTGGGAAACCTGTTCCAGTGTCTCACCACCCTCACACTGAAGAAATTGTTCCTTGTATCTAATCTAAATCTACCCTCTTCTTTTAAAACCGTTGCCCTTGTTGTTCCTCCCAGTTTCTTGGAGGTGAGGTGGCTGAAAGGCACCTCTGTACTCTTGGCCTGGTACCTGACTGGGAGGACTCGCTCCTTGGTGCCATGTGGCACGGTGTGCTCTGGCAGGAGTGGGGCTGCTGGGGCTCGGCTGGAGCTCTGCACAGCCTGGCCGTGCTGCCTGGGGACATCTCCTGTTCCTTCTGACGGTTAATTTGTAGTCCTGCTTGAGGATGGAGGACTGAAACTGCCAGCTGCTAAATAGAAATCCACCAAAAATAATTCAAAGCACTCGTCCCACAGCTCCGTGGCCATGATATGGAGTGACGGCACCCGGCAGCAAACACCGCTTCTGGTGCGTTCGTTGTTCGCACTGCGTGGAGAGTGGTGTGCAGGTCCAGGGGAGGGATGGTGGGGTGCACGGCACCTGGCCTCGCTGCAGCTGGGAGCTGGTCAGAAGCACCCTTCTCTGTCACCCTTTCCCCTCGCAGCTTGGAGACAGGCTCCGGCAGGGAATTGGGCATCCCAGCAGTGCCCACAGCAGGTGCTCAGGGCACCCACCTCTGCTCCGCGCTCATGCACCCACCTTCCCAGGGAAGATTTTGCAGGGTTTATTGGCAGATGTCTTTGTGCATGAGGCCATCCGCTGAGCTGCTACGGCACGTGCTGACGTGACATTTCCTAGCAATAAACCCACGCCTTCATTTAATTTCTAAATAAAACTCCCAATCCTATAATTGCTACTTGATGATTTATCTTCCACTGACACTTCTTTGGATGCCGGACAGGCCTTTGAAATTGGCTCTGTCAGCAGCGGGAGGGAAGTTTGCGTAGCTACAGGAGACAGAGCTGAACCTGAGCCCGGGCCACGTCCCCAGCCGACCCGCTCCTGCTGCGTGTCCCTGGGTGGCTCCAGGGCAGGTGGCCTTGCGGGCAGTGCTGCCGAGCATCGTGAAGTCTTCCGACACCGGCAGCGATGCTGCTAATTAGGCAGGCAGGTCTGCAAACAGAGTCTGCCTCCACGCAGCAGAGCCATCCTGACCACCCACAGACCAGTGAACTCAGCTGGTTTCCAGTGCAGCAGGCTTGGCACAGCCTGCCTGCAGACAGCACAGCTCCTCCGGGTGCCTGTGCGGAGCCTGTGCCACGGTGGTCACAGTGTCTGAGCATCGACCGGCTCTCAGGACCTGCGGTGACGCATGCGGACCCGCTGCTGAGCCCACCCACGCCAGGTGCCTGGTGCAGCAGATGGCGCTCGGTGGCTGGGACCCTTAGGATACGTGTAATGAAGAAAATAATAAAAGTGGTGATGGTGATTAAGACGATGAAGCGATAACATGATAAAAGTAGTGATAAAAGTAATTAGTGCTTGTAGAGATTGCAGTGGGAACAGGTGTCAGCGCTGTGGCAATACATTTCAGGCCACGGGAGGGAGACTGGTGGCTCCAACGCAAAGCCTGTGCTAGGGTTGTCTGCCTCTGACAAACTCTCCCCTCCAGGATGCAGGTCCCAGCCCTCGAGGCTTGATGGTTTCTGCTGGGCTTTTCCCTGGGAAAGGGTACAATGTCCCGGTTCAAAGACAGCCTGCAGCTTTTCCCCTGTGTTTTCCTATCCACCTCTTGAAGACGGCAGGGTTGTGGCTGGGGAGCTGCTGGGGCGGGTGGGAAGGGGGTGGGTGATGCCCCGGTCTCTCCCCAGGCTGCCCGCCCTGCATCCCTCCTGGCCCTGGGACAGAATGGAGGACCCAGTGTCCCCCACGCCAGCCGGTGACAAAGGCTTCGACAACCCCATGTTCGA